GTTTCTGTACGTTTTCATTCAAGGGGATAAGATTACACACAGATCTCAAAGATGCTTGGGCACTGGTCAGTAGGAGGCCATCACACTGGCTACTACAAGCCGATGAGTCAAGCCGTTTCTGTACGTTTTCATTCAAGGGAATAAGATACGACACAGATCTCAAAGATGCTTGGTCACTGGTCAGTAGAAGGCCATCACACTGGCTACTACAGGCCAGTGATGAGTCCAGTCGTTTCTGCACATTTTCATCCAAGGGAATAAGATACGACACAGATCTCAAAGATGCTAGGGCACTGGTCAGTAGAGGTCCCTTGTTCTGGCTACTACAGGCCACTAATGAGTGTCCAGCCATTGCTGTAGCTTGTCATTCACTGACCTCAGGTTATATTCCGATCTTGAAGATGCCTGGCCACTGGCCAATAGAGGGCCAATATTCTGGCTGCTGAACTCCTGTACACAAAGACCAAAAAACAGAGAACAGAAGTCATGGTCAAATCAACTGTTTCTTTTGACTGTTGCGAATACTGGACAAAAATCAAATCTACAGCCAAAACAAATGAACGTTAGACAAGGCTTAGATGCCTGGGCATTGGCCAGTGGCCAGGGAATATACTCAACTGGTCATTTTCTTATAAAGAAATAAATGAATGAACATTAAACCAAAAACTGGCATGTTTTCCCCGTAATCATACGATGTCAAGGTCCCTTGAAATTTAGAAAAGATCTGAATTTTTCCTCATGTCTTCTTACAATGCTGAAGAAAAATTCTCTCAAAGGTTCTTTCCAATAAAGTAATTGCTTCCCCCCATATGCCTTCCATAAAGCCGATGTGTGGAGCAGACAGCAAGTAACTTACCAGCTGGGCTTCGCCCTTGTCTCCACTCGTAGGTTCTATGTTGTCCTGATGAAATTGCTGTAAGTCACCCAAGAACGTGCTGATCTCCGCCATCTCCTGGCTCTTGTCTCTCTTGTTCATGGCACTGTCCTTTAGCTCTCTGATACGACTGTTGAGTCTGTGGATTATGAACAGAGGGGAAAAACATCACTTTCCTCATCCTTACTTCGTCATGCAGTGTAAAACTAAACTTCTGAGAAAACGGTGCTGTAGAAATAAAGTACATTTCGCAAATGCATATATCTTAAACAGCAATAAAATGTCCAAAATTGTGCTGTCAGTTCCTTAATTTGACTGCAATTAAGGATTACCTATTAACGTAAAACTCCCTCCTTTATGAAGACTCAGACACTAGGGAAATAGTATTGGTAATCCACGTGCTCTGGCCATTACACATGCCAGATGTTACATTTGTGTACAGCTTGGTGTCTTGTCTTCCACTTGTCTCTTCATAAGAATAAAAATCTCAGGCTGGTCAAGTTTTGCCCTGCATTGCTTCACGTAATCTCTGAGGAGAACACATTTGTCCATTCATCATTCATGAAACTGCAAAATGCGTTTTAGTTGAGTTGTCCTGCGGATATTATTGCGATCTGGCGGACACATATAGATTTTGTCAAAATGATTTCATCAAGCTGTCGGCAACAGATGGTTTAGTTGACTTGTCAAAACAAAACAAAAATTGAAAAGTGATGATTTTTGGCCAAATTTGTCTCTTCATGAAAATGATGACAAATTTTATGAGTTTGGGATGTACAAGATCACCTTCAAGTAATGTATGTTGAAAATCATTGTTTTGTTGGAGAAGTACTTGTCTGTTGCTGCATCACCGTTAAGTACGATTTTCTCTTCTGTCTCCTACGACAGACAGAGCATACCGTCCAAAATGTTGAGTACCCTCCAATTCTTTTCAGAATTACACATACTCAAAAAAGAGACGGCCTTGTATGGTGCTACCGAAAACCTCTTTACCTAACTTGCCATCACAATGAAAAGCTTCAAAGCTCATCTAGGGTATTTTGTTCTGAAACATCAAGTACTTTGAAGATTTGATATAACTCAGAGAAGACTTTAAAGATTTGATATAACTCAGAGAAGACATTGAAGTCTTGGCCCGTCATATGAGAGTAACAATCCCCAAATTTTGCTCACACTGATAATGCAAACTCTGGCTAAGAATTAGAGGCAGTACCCCCAACAAATGTGCTAAGAAAAAATATATGCTAAC